ATACTACATATATATCCTAACAGATATTCAAAGCAATGGGCAAAAACACGTCCCGCTTCACCACCCTCCGCTTCCACGCCATCGGCTCCTGCCCACCCAACCCCACCTCCCTCGACGCCTCCACAGTCGACTTCCGCATCTTCGCGCAAACCCGCGACGCCGACCTCGTGCGCCCCGACGTCCCCGACGCATTCAACAGATGGTGTCTCGAAGTCTTCCTGCAATGCGCGCCAGGCCTCTCCCTGACCAACGACTTGCGCCAGGTAGTTCCGAAACCGTACTATGAATACTGGGTCGCGTTGCTGCCGCAGACGCATCTGCCGTTGAGAGTGCATAGTTTGTACGGGGAGAGGGAAGTGAAAGTGCTGGAGGCGCCGACGGCTACGAGGGAGTATCCCCGACAGCAGCATTCGTATGAGACTTCTGATCCCGTTGATCTTTCGGCGTTTGGTCCGACGGCGCAGGCGCCGCTGGGCGCCATAGTGGCTGGCCGTTCCGGGGACAAGGCTGCGGATTGCAATTGTGGGTTTTTTGTCAGACACGAGGATGAGTGGGATTGGCTACGCAGTTTCTTGACGATTGATCGGATAAAGGCGTTGTTGGGACCGGAAGAATACAAGGGAGGGAGGATTGATCGGTTTGAGATTGCGGGGATTTGGGCGGTGCATTTTTTGTTGCATGAGCAGTTGGATCGCGGGTATAATGCTAGTTCTGAGATTGATACGTTGGGCAAGAATGCGATGGAGTATATGCGGGCCAAGACGGTGGAGATTCCGACAAAGTTTTTGGAGAGGGGATGGATTTGAAAAGGGGGGGGGATGGGGGGGATTTACTGGACAAAAGGCAAGGTTGTGAAGAAAAGCAAATGGAGATATCAATGTGATTGAAGGTATCAAATGTATATCTAAAGGCAATAATAGCGTATTTTCAGTTCAGCGCTTAGCACTAGAGACGAACACATGATGGGAAAAAGGGAGAAACAGGAGAAATTGGAATATGCTCAACACCATCTAGGAGAATGAGCTAACACTAATTGTACGGTTAGCGACATGAAAGGTCCAGCCCCTCAATTCACGATAAAACAATGCAAAAGGAAGAAAAGACACAAAACACCACCGCAACACCCTACCATGTCCATCGTTCAGACTCCATCTCCGCATTCACACCCAGATCCTCCCTGAATCCATCCTGCCCTTTAAAACCACACTCTCAGTACCCTCAAACAGCCGTAAACGACGTCCTCGGCGTCACCACCACACCCCCCACATCCTTCTCCCGCCCATCAATAACCTCAACATGCCCCTTCTTCCCCCTCGTCATGCCCCTACCCGGCACCATCCTTCTCCCAAACTCCACCACCATGGTCAAAAAGCTCAACAAGCTACCCCCCGCACACATCAGCCTCACACTCACCCATCCCACAGGCACAGGCACAATTCAAAACATCCGGATGCAACACTTACAAAGCAATCGCCTCAAACGCTATATGCGCCCTCATCGCCGCACAGCTCTCCAGCACCCCATACCCAAACAACCCACACCCACCCTGCACGTAGTCGAGGGCAGAAAGAATCAGCGCCGTGAGCCACAAGCTCGCCAGTATGAACATGGGGATGATGAAATCGAGAGTCGAGCGACCAACAAAAGCGCCGTAGAGAGCAAAAGTGCAAACAACCATGTCGACAGCAGCCTGATTGTACAAAAAAAATTTTTAGCTTGTGAAGGCACAGGTTAAGGTGGTCAG